TGTTAACTGCATACGCGAAAGTTCTGCAAAATATTTTTACACATGACTTCTTTTCTTTTGTTTTACATATTAAATTCATTTTTATATTATGTACGAAATTTCTAGCCAAACCCAAAAGAATTGCATATTTAACATCACATGTTATCCAAGTTTTCGAAAGATAATAATACAACCGAAATTACAAAATAATAATAATAATTCTGATGTATATCTATCTCCATTAGATACCGATAAATGGTAAAGAAGAAATGCTAGGTTCAGATCAAGTACTTTGATCTTTGTAAATTACCTCCTTCAGAAGCACATTATTTTCTGGACCAGTTAGAGTATACTGAAGGGTACCTTTGTATTATCGCAAAGTTGTTTCATTTATCACCAAGTTGTTGTTTTATTTATGGTAACCTGAGTAGTTGAATGGTCCGTAAATATACTTTTACTTAGGATTGGGTGCTCCTTTGAATTTTTAAGTGAAAATACAGGGTGTTTATAAAGTCCTAAACCCATTTTGATGTTTAATAACTCATAAAATAATAGATTAAAATTAATAACATAAATGGTTAGATAGACTCAAAAAGTTTCATGACCCTTATCAATGAACTTCTACGTGTGCCCCCTTCGTTGCAAGGAGAATATCAAGTCGATATTCAATTTCACGCCAGGTACAGGCAAGCATGTCGGCATCCACAGAGGCTATTGCGGTTGTAATTCTGGCTTTTAGGTCATCAATGTTTGACACTCTCCTCCTGTAAACGTTCTCTTTTACAAATCCCCAAAGGAAAAAGTCCAGCGGAGTTATATCAGAACATAACATTGCAATAGTTGCCAAAAACAAAAGAAAGAAAAATGCAATTAATAAGCAGACGATATTCAGATTGGAAAATGAAGTTATCTGAAATTAACCACACGCACAGACGATATTTACAAAAGTAAAGATATTCAAACCTGAAAAGGAAAATATATAAGTCATTCCATCAATAAATGCCATAAGTTTGTTTATATCTTCATTATTTTATGAGTTATTAAATATCAAAATGGGTCTGGGACTTTATAAACACCCTGGATATCGACGTGTACATGAGCAAAGTTAAGGGAGTGCACAATGCCAATTTTGTGCAATTCTGCGATTTTTTTTTTTTTTTTTTTTTTTTTTTTTAATTTTTATTTTGAGTGAAAATAGGTCAATGTGCACAAACTCGTGGTATCCATGTACTGCTAAAAATCGCCAATTTTTGCCAAGGGGTACCCGTAAATATACTTTTACCTCTAGACCCCTTATATAAATGCCAATTTGTTGTTTGAAAATTTAAATACTTCAAATAATTTTTATTTGTTACCCCCCCCAAAAAAAGGATTAATGAAGTGATCAAATAATAATTAAAAAAGCAAATGTTTATATATAAATTAACATAGATTCAATGAATCATCTTCTTCATATTCAAAAATATTATTTAATTTTAGTAATAAATAATTTAGTTCATCAAATGTTAATATACATGAATTTGCTCTTACCTCTCAAATAACCAAGCTTAACTACACACAATGATGGCTTTGCATCCAAATTTTTTTTAGAATTGCATGGTCTTCCAGTTACACTGGACTGTGCGAGTTCTTCTTCACCAAAAATACACAAACTTAAATTTTTTATGTATCTGCTGTCTCCAGCACTTCCTTCTTTTACACCCAAATAAGCCAATTTTAGTTTCTCGTCTGGAACTGTGAAATGATTCTAAAACAGAGAGAAGAGTAGAATTCTGGGTAAATCTATGTTTGTGAAAAAAATATTAAAATATATACAGTTCAATGTCCGAGATCTAAAATCATCAGGACTTTGATTTCAGAAATTTCCAGATTTTTTATGACCAATGTAAATTTAGTAAGATGACATGTATAAATTTAATCGCTAATTAACGGAGATGTAACATGTGAGGTACAAGAACACATTGCGATCTCGGTTGATTAGCGATTTAATCTTGGGGGCCGCTGTAGTAAGGAGGTATCGTTTTACAGAACTACCACCACATGAAATTAAAATGTGGCTCAGGAATGATATGGCAATATTTTCCAGATTAAAAACCACATTACTGTTACTCAAGGGCTGAAAGTGGGGCTAATGTTAATACAGTATTGCCATTGGCCATGTAGGAATCTCAGTTATCAGAGATAAAAATAGCTTTTAGAGCACATCTGTTTTCATCTCAATTTCATTCTGTATATCTATATATAATCCAATTTTTCATATTACACTTCACATTTTTTTTATATACTCATGTGAAGAATAAGAAAATTTGAAAATTATGCTTATTTTTACGAAAAGTGTTGAACCAAAGGTCATAATTATGCAAATAATTAATAGTGGAATACTTAGCATTAAAAATCAACATTATTTTATATATCAGCTTATCATAATAGTTTAAATTACTGTTAAGAATGAAGTACAAATAAAATTTACATTATTTTCCTCTTGCGTAATGCTTTTTTCTGGACAATCTGTTTTTTCTCTGTATTTTTCATAGAAATTTCTACATCCTTTTCAATTTCTGTACTTATTGGAGGTCGATTTGCAATTTTTGAATTGAAACATTTTTCCTCTTCACAACTATCGGAGCTTTTTCCTCCTGCACTTCTCTTTGCTTCACTATCAAGTCTCTTTAAAAGTTCCTTTTGTAAATTGATATTCAGTTTTAAAATTGTTTCACAATGCTGCTCTAATTTTGTATAGGCATTCTTCAAATCATCATATTTTTTTGATAATTTTTCGTATGCATCATCGTTTTCAATCCCTCTGTTTTCCAGAATATTTAGTTCATCACTATCACTATCACTATATTTTCTTTTCTTGGTATTCTTCAGCAAATTAATAATTGTGGCCCTTTTGCCATCTTTCAGTGCATCAGTTTTATTTTTTACCTATAAAAGAGAAAAAAAAATCTCATAAATTATTATTCTTAAATATTAGTAGGTGCAAGAGCAATACATCAAAATAATAACAAAATTCAGTACTTTTTTATTTTGCCGGCACAGGCGATAAAGTTGCCAATAATGGTACAACTGATGCCAAACGGAATATTCTCGCTGATAACCTTTTCTGCCTCATTTTCAAAACAAGTCACAGCTATTTCTTATCAGATTGATTGTTTTTTTCAATACTGGCATACAATTACATAGAATTTTTACCAGATAGTTCAATTTTATGCCTTAAGGCCATTCGTGGTAATTAAGTCAATTAGGATGCAATCACACTGCTCACTCAAAGGTGAAAATATAGAAAAGGAAAAATCAAGGGCTAAATTCATCAATTCTAATGAGAATGCACTAGTGAAGTAAAGCACTGCAGTTTTACATAATTTCTGAGTAAACTATTTGTACGAATTGAAATAATTCTTTCATTTAAACTGGTATTCCAAATTAAGATTTAAAATTAATGTAGATAATTAATTTGAAATTAATGTAGATAATTACGGAGAGAATTAGATTTTTGTAGCGTAGTTTATGCGAGATGAGATCCATTGCAAAATTTACCACATATTCCGTTGCAAAATTTACCACATGAGAAAAATTGCTTGTTAAACGAGACCAGCACTTTTTAAAAAACAAGTTAATAATAAATGTTTAGGTTTAATCCTAGTATCCGGTACACACGGGATTTGGCTACTTTTGGCGACTTTTATGATGAGCAGTAAAAACGGGACGTATACGATGAGTAGTAAACGGGTATTCAAAGAATATATATAGTTATACATAGTATATACTATGTATATAGTGTATAGTATACTCTCACTATATATATATTATATATATATACTTTTGGTAATTTTTGGTGTTGGCGATAATTTTAACAATCGCGCCAAGGCTGCACCGTATACTAGGATTTTACCAATGTTTATTAATATGCATATATCTGAAACTTTCTTACTTTCTTCTGAGATTTTGTAGGAATCTCTTTTTCAGATGATGCCTTCACACGTCTCCCTTCTTTTGATTCAATGGACTGTTCAAGTTCATTTGCAGTTTCTATAGTAAATTAAATTATAAATACTCTACTTAATCTCACATGAGCAAACTATTAAACTAATTATAGTCCAATTAAATAATACATTATTTTATAAGCTTTATAAATCATCACTATATAACTGAACTGTTTTATATTCACATAGATCAAAGAAAGATATCTAGTATATGTACATGGATCAAAGAAAGTTTTAACTTAGAAATACAAATAGTGACGACCATTTTACTAGCTATCTCTAAAAAATTATTCTTAATTTCTTTACCCATAGATTATATAATGGAAAAATAACAAGAAGAAAAAGAGGCTGAAAAAATCTTACCTGAAATTAGAAGAATTTTCGCATAATAATAGCCAGGCACAGGTGTTCTATTATTTCTTCGAATTCCACAGTGTGTATTTTACCCTGCTCCTTCAAAAGCCGCTCTGGAGTGTCATCTGATCTTGGACTCCAGAAAACCTCATATATTTTTGGGGGATTGTATTTTACGCTAAAGTCCTTTATAAAAGTAGAAGGAACTATCGCTACCTCCTTGTCGCAGCAGTATTTAACGAGTGCAAACATGGACATTTCAAACAGCAGATTTTCAAAGTAATAATATAAATGAAAATTGCCTCTAACACCACCAACAAGGTTAATCCAATCCTACACTCGGAACTTGTTGATGCCGCCCGATGCTCGATAAATGTAAATAAACGTGACGAAAACGTAGATACGTATTTAAAATAAATAACAAGTGTATAATTTATACTCCTTCAATAAGCTACACTGAATTTCATCTCTCATCTCATTTATTAAATGACCTATTTTTTAATTAATGTGTCGTATTACGAAGATATTTAGATGAGTACTACAAATTATTTATCTGGATGCTTATCTCTTTGAATTGTCATCGGGCAGAAAGACTTATTTCTGCAGTCTAATACATTTTACCGTGCGAAGTAATAGTGAGCATAAATAGTAAATTTAATAGCGATTGAAGTGTTACGTAAAATGGCGTTGTTTAGCCGCAAGCGTTATAAGACCTATTTAGATCACTGTTCAGCGAGTTCTGTACCTAAGAGAACAGCAAACAGGTATAAACAGTGTGATGCGACTACATCAGATTTTAGTTTGGATTCTCAAGATGCATCTTTTAGTTCTGATCTAACAGAAAGTATAAGAAATATTTTAAGAACATCAGATTTATCTAAAGAATCCAGTTTTCCTGAAGAATATGAGACGGAATGTAATATGGACGATGATGAGAATTTTCGTGATGATTCGGATTTATTCAGACAAATTTTTTCTGGGTTAAAAATTACTAGATTTGAAGTTTTATTATTGCTTCTGCATTTTTCATTGCGTCATGGATTAAGCAGTGTAGCTATTGTGGATTTAATTAAACTTATCAACGTAATTTTTGAAAATGATGTAATACCTCCAAGTTTATATTTCTTTAAAAGAGTATTTTCATCAAAAATTGTACCTGAAACCCACTATTATTGTGTCAACTGTAAAAGTTATTTAGGAAATGAGGATAAATGTAAAAATTTAAGCACTTGTGTATCTTGCAATCATTTATTCAATAATAATTATTTCTTTATAAACATACAAATGACTAGCCAGATTAAGTGTGTACTGGAAGAGCCAGGAATTTTTGAAGCAATAGATAGACATAAAAAAAAATATCCCTCTTGATTCAGAACAAGATGCTGAAATTCTTTGTGATTTAAGAAGTGGTGAAAGATACAAGGAACTAACAAGAAAAGGTGTCTTAAGTGATAGTGATTTGACAATCACATTCAATTGTGATGGATCACCAATTTTTAAATCTGTAAAGAATTCTCTGTGGCCAATCCACTTTAGAATAAACGAATTGCCATTGAAAGAGCGTTTTCAGTCGTACCGCACCATGGTTGCTGGATTGTGGTTTGGTAATCAAGAGCCAGTAATGGCTACCTTTTTAACTCCTTTCATTCTGGAAGCAAATGAATTGTATGAGAATGGAATAAATATTATCAATGGTGATATTCAAGAAAATATCAAGGTTTTATTAACATCCTGTGTGGCAGATAGTGTAGCGAAGGCTGCAATACAAAATGTAAAACAGTTTAATGGTAGATATGGCTGTCCATATTGTTATCATCCTGGTTCTTTGATAGGAAGCCAAATAAAATATAAAGCTGAGATGTTTAGTGATAGGACAGATGAAGAAATGCGAAAAGATATGGAAACTGCTGAAGTTTCAGGAAAAGAAAAGAGAGGAGTGAAAGGCTTAAGCCCACTTTATGTACAGCCATATTTTGATATAGTCAATGGTTTTCAAATTGATTACATGCATTGTTGCCTATTAGGAGTAACAAAACTTCTAGCAAACTTGTGGACAAGTTCTGCTAATCACTTATCAGATTACTATTTGAATAAGAAAAATGTTAATCTAATAAATATACTATTACGAAACATGAAGGTTCCACGATCAGTAAGTAGACGCCCAAGACCATTTTCTGATATGGTGCACTGGAAAGCTAATGAATGGAGGAACTGGTTATTACATTACAGTGCTCCATGTTTAAAATCTGCATTACCATTAAAATACTTCAGACATTATAGTTATCTTGTATCTGCAATATATATTTTATTACAATCATCTGTATCAAAATCTGAAATTGATGTTGCCAATTGTTATTTGACAAATTTTGTTTTTGAATTTGAATCATTGTATGGTGAAGTAAATATGAATTTCAATGTGCATTTACTTCTTCACCTCAGTAAATGCGTAAGTATTTGGGGACCTTTATGGTTATATTCTGCATTTCCCTTTGAATCTGGGAATGGACATTTAATTAAATTAGTGAATGGTACTAAAGGAATTCTGAAACAGATTGCTAATAAATATTGCATGTATTTAAGTATTCCTGCAATTATAAATAAATATAAAAATGTAAATATTGAAGTATTACAATTTTGTGATGTAATTATGTCATATAAGCGTTTGCAAAAATCAGAAGTTTGTGGAGGTAGGAATACTTGGTAGTACAACCCTTCCTACTCTACGAAGAGACTACTTAAGAGAATTATTATGGTAAGAATATATGAGTATTTTAGATGAATTATTTAGTGTGAAAAAAATTATAATTAATGGAGTTATGTATCATATTAAAGAAAATGGCAACAAAAAATGTGATGATTCTTTTGTCCAGCTTTATGATGGTTCGTATGTTATTATCCAATCATTTTTTTATAATATTAATGAGAAAAATAATTTATTTGCAGTATGCAAAGAAATATTAATAGATAATAAACAACATTTGATTTCAGATGCAAGATGTAATCCGATAATCAATCACATTAAAACTTGTAAAACATATATTTATGGTAATCTTAAAATTATTTCAATAAATTCATTTAAATGCAAAAGCATGTTGATGAATATAGAAGAAAAATTTTATATTAGTGATTTTCCGAATGTTTTTGAAAAAGATTAAAGAATTAGAGTGTAAATAAATCATTGTGTATTCATAGTATAATTCATTTCATTGTCATTCATAGCTCAGAGTGAAATTCAATGTAGCTGTGGTTTGCTCAAGGTTTATTAATTGAAATTAAATAAATGATGTTTCTCCAAATGTATTACAAAAATCCTAAAAATATATGTACATGTATTTGTGACATTTTCTACAATATGTATTTATTTATTTTTAGAATTACAGAATGGCAAACACTGTAACTTAAATGTTGATTAGCCTTGGAGCTAACTTACGTATTTGAAATGTATAAATTTCATGAATGGTTAATTACTAGTTATTCAAACAAAGTGTTTGTTGCTAGTAAGTTAAAGTAATACATACTTGATTGGTATTCAGTTTCTTTCATTTCAAATGAGTTTTAATGTACAATTTTCTAATGAATTTTTAATTCTTTGAAAATTTTATTATTTTAATATTTTGAATATATAATTATGTGTTTGAAGTTCTTTAAAATACAAAATAAATGCATGTTTACATTTAAATTGATTTTTATCCTTCAAAGTTTACCAGTAAAGATTTTGGCTAATCTTTGGAATATGGTACAGGTAGTTTGGCGACATTTTGGTAAGGCGATAAAGGTTACTAGTTAGGACTTAGTGTACATGGATAAAGTCAAGAGTGTGCGCAATGCCATTTTTGTGCAATTCTGGGATGTTTTTTTAAGTGAAAATAGGTCGACGTGTACGTGGATACCGAACACGTCCAAACAATGATGTATGTGCAATTCTTAAAAACGCGGCAAGCAGTTTGCGATTCTGCACTTTCTCCCAATTTCGCACCTAATCTTCGTCATGATTAAGCACTTTTGTTCCATAAAAGTTCTAGCATAAGCGTAATTCGGCTAGCAGATTGTTGGGAAAAAATGTTGAATAAAAAAAAAAATACCCTTACTTCATGAAAACAAAATGGCATCCAAACAAAAACTAGCACCCGTCTCACCAAGAAGATGATCCCCTGAAGGGCTAGGGTACCTCGGGATTGCCACACCCGTACTCACAAAAGTGAGCCCCCTGAGGGGCAAAGGATTAGAGGAAACCAAATTTTTGAAAAGCTTTCCGGATTAAATATTTTTTTGAACTTTGACGATCTGGATTGTCCTAAAATCGACAAATTGCAGATACCTACCGTGAATTGTCCCTTTCACGCGCCGCAGTTTCATTCTTGCGCTCTACATAGAGCCGCAGCTTTTGCCAATTTGTATCCAGTATAAATAGCTTCACGTTTTAAATCCAAGTATCATTATTTGTTCGATATGTCGTCGCATACACACCTCCCATTAGAGCAGCTCAAACTTTTGCAAAAGTCTAAAGTCAAAAGACAATTGCTGCAAAAGTGTCCTAATAGTGTCATCAAAGCTGTATGCGAATGCGCCCATCTCAAAACGTCAGAAGAGCAGATTAGCTACTTACAAAAGGACGTTACGTCGACTAGGAGATAAAAGAGTTCCTCTGTTTAAGAAGAGAAAACTCCTCGTTCAAAAAGCTGACGGTTTCTTGTCACTCCTCTTACTTGCAGCCGTGTCTCTACTAGGATCCCTTTTCCATGGATCACGCTAAGTAGTAGTAGTAGTAGTAGTTTTATGGCGCAAAGCTCAATAGGCCATATGCGCCAAACACAGGATTCTTTTTTTAACATACAAACTAAAGGAACAAAAAATATAAAGACAAAAGCACACTTTTAAAATCGAGGCAAGTAAAAAGATATTTAAATGATGGGATGAAAATGCTGATTATAACTTTGATAATGAGAGATGCAGTATAGATATAAAATCCTAAAACATCTGATTAATTAAAATTCCAACATAAAATCTCAGGACAAAAATCAAATTAAATAATAGAAACCTGTTTCCTTGAGGTAGTGAAACAAATTATTATTGACCTCTCTTCCGATTAAACGGTCAAGAGGCAGGTCGCAGCTATTAAAATACTTCTCACGAAGATTATTAAAATATGAACATTCAATTAAAATGTGATAAACTGAAAGACAAACATTACAAGTTGCACAAATAGGCTCGTTCTCAGCTTTCAGAAGGTAGTTATGTGTCACTCTACTGTGACCAATTCTAAGGCGAGTCAAAAGAACTTCCTCCCTGCGATTGCTAGTAGTATCCCAATGCTCTATTTTAGGCTTCACCCTTCTCAACTTGTTATGAAGTTGAAGGTCCCAAAGTTGCTGCCATTTCTTTCGGATCTTCTCTTTTATGACACAACGGATATCTTTAAAAGGGATGAGGCGGCCGGACATTTCAAGAGCAGATTTCGCTGCGATATCCGCCAGCTCATTGCCCTTTATTCCTGTATGTCCGGGGACCCAGCAGTACAGAAGTTCAAATCCACGACATGTCAATTTAATATTCAACTTGAGAACATCCACTATCACAGGATTCTCAGTGCTAGAAAAGGATTCTAAAGCTTTCAATGCACTGTAGGAGTCCGTATATACAATGAATTTTCGATGGTGCAGCGTTGAGATATACAAAAGCGCATAATATATGGCAGTCAGTTCGGAGGTTAAGACAGAGGAAGCGTCGTGTAAACGTCTGCCTTCCATGTGGTCACCAATTATAGATGACATGCCAACATGGCAAGCTGACTTAGAGCCATCCGTATATATGGGAACATAACTCCTGTAACTCTGCCTGTGATCAGCAAAAATTTGTCTGTAGATGCTCTCATCATCAGTAGTTGTTTTTTTTTTTCCGTAATTGTGGAAAATGTCAAGAAGGTGGATTTGTGCATTTTCCCAAGGTGCAATTTCAAAATGCTGTACTGCCTGTGGGGAAATATCAAACAGGGAGAATTCTTCAATGAGGGGACGAACTCTAACAGGAAAAGAAGGCACACAGGATGGACGTGCCTCAAATAAAAGGTCACAGCTATTTTCACATATACTCAAGTTAGAAGGATGGTCAGGTTGAGATAAAATATTAAAATAGCGTAAAAGAGACAACTCCTCACGCCTCAAACGGAGTGATGGCTCGTGACAGTCAACATAAAGGCTCTGCACAGGAGATGTCCTGAAGGCTCCAGAACAAATCCGCAGAGCCTGATGATGAACAGGATCTAGTTTTAACAACACTGAAGACCGGGCAGATCCGTAAACAACTGAGCCGTAGTCCAGTTTAGAGCGAATTAGAGCCCTCTGTAAATGCGAAGCATGGAGCAACGCTCTGCACCCCAGGAGGTGTTCGCCAGGACTTTTAAGAATATTTAGAAACTTTGGTACACTTTTTTCTCAAGTTTAAGACATGAGGAAGGAAAGTCAACTTTTCGGTCGAACATCACCCCTAAAAATTTTACTTCAGGTGCAACTGGAATTACAGACCCATTGAGGTATAATTCCGGCTCAGGATGGAGACCTCGCTTTTTAAAAAAATGCACGCACACAGTCTTCTGTTTCGAAAACGTAAATCCTTGTCTTTTTGCCCATTCCTGGATCCTGTTCAAAGCGATCTGGAGCTGTCTCTCTACATGTCTCATATCCACACCACTACAGCTAATTTGTAGATCATCAACATATAAAGAACCTGAAATGGTGGGAGGAAGTTGTTTTAATACAGAATTTATTTTTAGGCTGAAAAGAGTTACACTTACACTGAGCACACAGCCTTGAGGCACACCCTCTTCTTGTTCAAAACACATCAGACAAAACAGAGCCTATCCTTACTTGAAAAGTTCTAGCGTTCAGGAAATTCTGAATGAAAATTGGTAGGTTGCCGCGCAAGCCACTCTCGTGAAGATCGCGAATTATACCGTATCTCCATGCCTTATCATAGGCTTTCTCTATATCGAAGAAAATTGAGACAAGGTGATTTCTTCTTACAAAAGCTTTTCGAATGGGATGTCTCTAAGAGGAGCATATTATCTACGGTTGTTCTCCCCTTTCGAAAACCACTTTGATAAGGCGATATAATATTATTCTTTTTCCAAGAAGTAGACTAGGCGGCTGTTTACCATCTTTTTAAACAGTTTGCAAACACAGCTGGTAAGGGCAAGGCCGATAGTTCGAGGGATTCCTCGGGTCTTTCCCTGGCTTCGCAATAGGAATGACAATAGCTCTCCTCCATGCACTGGGAAATGTACGCTCCTTCCTTCCACACTCTATTGTAAAGTGTGAGAAGGGCACTCAGTGACTTACAGGACAGATGCTTTAGCATTTCATAATACACGCCATCCAGACCCGGACAAGACCTATGTGTCTGCAACAAAGCTCTCTTTAGTTCAACCATAGTGAAGTCTCTATTGTACGGCTCAAAGTTGGAAGAGTTGAAAGCGATGGGATTTTTCTCAGAGCGTTGCTTGATAGAAAGAAATGCAGGTGAGTAATTTCGGCTGGAAGAAACGGCAGCAAATGTCTCACCAATTGTATTTGCAATTTGTTCTATGGAGCTAATCACTCGGCCATCTTTTTCCAGAAAGGAAAGTGAGTGGTCTTTGTACATTCCGCATGCTTTTCGAACTCTTTCCAAAACCCGCTTACTAGGCATAGAGGATGTTATTGAGGACAC